CCTTCCCTCCCTCCCGTGTCAGAATCATTAGCACATGGAAATAGAGTAGCTCAGAGAAAGTCTTTAGAAGACTAATAGAAACTACAAATAGTTTATTTTAAAACTTTCCATGGATGACTTCTTTCAGTGCATTAATGCTTATTYTCATCTGCTTCCCTTTGAAAAAAAATCTGGCTATAGTTCTTAGCTAATCTGATACATTTTTGTGATATCATTTGGAACCCCTTGATATATCTGCCAACTAATTTACAAGAATTATTGCATTGTAAAAATATTCAGAAAACCTGCGTGCAATTGATTTTCTGACAAAATGTCTTACAGGAAAATAAATGATCTATGGTTAACCCTTTAACTTCTGCTTCCCTCTATCAAAATCACTCCCACATACACCTTTAAATAAACAAAAGAATCAGTATATTAAGCAATAGTCAATTTGGGAGGTGTATTTTCAATGACAGATTTCCAATTTCTTTGTCTGTGTACGCATTCTGGAACCAGAACCAGTACCAAGCTAACACACAGACACAGTCTCTGTTTCCCACCCAGCCTGTTCAATGCCATTTATCAACTGGCTTCGCACTTGGGTGAAACTGCCTTGCATGACACCTGTTACAACTCAGGTAAGATTTCGCAGGAAGCACATGCATGATATAATAAAGATAACCTCTCTTCCTGTACAGAGGTATGTATTTATCATTGACTACTACAATATGCAAGTAGGATGCATCACTAGAGCCACAAGTGCAGTCACTTAAGGTGGGAGGAGGTTGTTTACTTTTGCGGTGGTATTCAAACACTTTTCTAGAGCAATAAAAGTTCTAAATATTTCAGGTTTTGCTCTTGGACTTCATGGACTTCAAGAAACAAGAGTAGCAATGAACTGTGTAGGTGCTTCTCCTCCTATAGAAGAAATTATCTTCAGCAAGAGAGTCAACACAATAAATGAAGCCTGTATCTTGCCTGTCCTGTTCTTTTGTCATCCATGTTCTCTGCAAACTCTCTTGCACTCATTAGTCTTATTTTGTCCAYGGACAAGCAGGCTCTGATTTTCAAAGCCACCACAAAATGGTTCCAGCGTCTCTTGCCTGTCCTTTCTTGGAGTTTTGATTATTCAGTACTAATTTACTTGCTCTTGAAGGGATTTGATGATACCAGTGTTTGTAAAAAGAGTTTTAGGACAGCTGAATTTAATTTGCAATAGTTAAACCTTGAATATTATTTAGATTGTTAACCTCTAAGMGGAGCATTTACAGGCATGGGAGTCTTTTTTTTTTCCTTTTATTTTTGCATGCTGGATTTTTAGAAAAGAAAGCTCTTGCTTCTCTTGGTCTTTGCAGTTCAGTTACCTGCCTTTGGTAGTTTACTCCTCCCAGCGCTGTTCCTGCTAAAGTTTGCACATGAGTGCATCAGGTTTGACATATGAGTGCATATCAGGTTTGACTCTTTCCAAATTTAGGCCATTGAATAAAAACTGTCACACTGCATTTGCCTGTATGCGTGTGCCGTGATCCTCCATGGCTTACACATCAAGTGGTCTGTCACCCTGCCTGTCATTTCCTCAGGTTTGTTTCAGCCACCTCACATGTCTTTCTGCCAGGTAATGTTGGCCATTTCTTGTGCACTGCTAAACAAACCAATTGCCCTGCACCCATTTTGAACTTCCTTAATAAAACCACCAGGGTCTGGCACCGGTCCCACGTCAGCACATTCCACGGGTTCATCACCCCTTGCTGCTGCAGCCTCATTTTCTGGACCCACAATGATAAAATATGCCCATCTCTGAGGCACACGAATCTCGGCTTGCTAAGTTTTTTGGGTGCTGCACCCTGTCAAGCAGCTGGCAACTACCATGCAGGTTATGGTTCAGGTTGGAAAATGATCCTTCCGCAGGTGGGTTTCAAGGGCAGTAGCTACGCAGCCACACTCAGGGAGCTGTATCCTGAGTTCTATGATCAGAGCTGACACAGCAGAGCTCTTCAGTGCCAGGGATAACGCCGGAATTGCCTTCAAACCGCCTTCCTACAGCTTCAAACCGCCTTCCTACAGCTCCTGTCAAGCTAGGGGCTCAGGCTGGCATCCCTTGTGTGGCACTTCCCTGAAGAATGGCATGGAAGCCTAAGAGCTTAGGAGTATTTTTGTCACTGAGTTCGAGCTCCCTCAGACCCTGAGGGACACTCAGACCCCGAAGACACTTASACACCACAGCTCGTGCGAGCAGACCCACATGCTCTGGGGTAGTTACTTAACAAAAGGGTCGTAACTGCCCTAAGATGCAGCCCAAGAACAGATGTGTGCCACAACTCCACCTGACACACGACACGAACACCGCCGACACACTGTGCAGCTGACGCCCAGATAGCACAGCCTAAATTACCTGCAGCTTGATTATCCAGTGTTGACACGGTTTTTATGAGTAAGTCACCCTTGAGACACTGAGAATCTGGAAATCCCAACCACMGATAAAAACTTCCTTGCAGCAACAGAAAGTCACGGTATTTTTTTCTGACAAACTTTGGCTGAGAGTTTTGAGCACTTTTAACTTATCAGCCTTGCAGTGCGTTTAACAAGGAGAGTGAAGTCTTCTGGCATAAATCACTGACTTAAAGGAAAACAACTGTGTAACAATATTACGAGATATACAGGACAGGATGCACTTGGATTCTAGTTTCTGTCCACTGGCTCACCAGAGGGAAGGATCATAAATCAGAGYGAGAGAATGGAAATCAAAGAAAAGTAACAGGAAGTGTCAAAATGAAAACCTGGCAGAAATTACCAAAAGGAGGAAAAGAAAAAAGACTCCAGATGTGTTTAAAACCCCCCCAAAAAAAAGGGGGGGGGGGAAGATTCAGTGAACAAAAGATGTACAAGCACAAAAGAGTGATAGCTTGGGTGGGGGTCTCCTCAATTTTATCTCATGCGCAGGCCAGGTCTGGAGAAGCAAGAAAATCAGTATCTCTGAGGATGGGGGATGTGAACGGGGAAAGAGCCACATAAAATCACCTCCTCTCTTCCCATGGAGCAAAGCTCTGGAAACTCTGATCCTCGAAATATCTCAATGGAGCTCACAATTCAAAAGGTTCATTAAATCCCGGATTATTACCATGAGAGAACTCGATCACAGCAGCCAGATTGCCATGTTTAAGGGGCTCTTTCTTCCTACATACCTCCAAGATGTAGTGCTCGGAGTCACATGGCGAGCATGTGAGCGCGGGCCCGCTCCCGCCGAAGCTCTTTCCTGTGGGGCCATCTACCGGCCCCGCGTTCGCACGGCAAACGCTCCGCACGGAAAACGCTCCACACAACCGTTGTGGTAGCGGAGGCAGCGCCAGGCCCGGGTTACTTCTGTAACGGTGGCTGTTCTATCGGATGTGCAGAACGCCAGGGATGTGGCAGCAGCCACCACGGGTTCCTCACAGAGCGTCGCTCCGGGCGGCGCTGAGCAGGGTGGTGTTTCTGTAACTCCAAGCTGCTCGTGATGTGAGATACAAGCGCACCTAAAACACACCCAGCTGCACCCCCAAGCTCGAGAGGGGAATTTATGGTTCTCCTTCACAAAAAAATTAACAGGAAAATCATAGAGAGTTCAGGTGTCACAGAATCACAGGATGGTTGAGGTTGGAAGGGACCTCTAGAGATCATCTAGTCCAACYCCCTGCTCCAGCAGGGACACCCAGAGCATGGGGCACAGGGCGGCATCCAGGCGGGTTTGGAGACCTCCAGAGAAGGAATGTAAAGATGTAAATGAATGGGATTGATTTTTACATTAAAAAAAAAAAAATGTAGCTCTATTCCCCACTTCCCTTCTAATTAGAGATGTTCTCCCTCCCCCCCTTCCCTTATGTGTCATATTTAATCCAACAATGGTCCCAAATTCTAATAATTGTGACATGAAAGTTCTTAAAATCTTTCCTCCAGCAAGTAATTCAAGCAAAGAAATTCATGTTGTGGGTTGAAGTATTTTTTTCAAACAAATCCAAATGCAGGAATTARTTTGCAAACCAATACTTCGGGAGACAAGAGTCATTAAGCGATCCATATTTAATTTTTTAAAGAATTAAGCTCAATCAATAGGCTCCTGAATCAAGGATAGATAGATTACATGTTTATTTATACATGATCTGATACCACTGGGTAATTTTGCCAACCGGTATATATTTGTATCATGCAACTATTAAACTACAGTTTGTTATTGTACATCTCATTTTCAAGCTGCTTAAAACTTTTAGCCATTCTTGAGTTAAGGCTCTCTCATTTGTTAAAAACAAAACAAAAACCCCAAACATCTTTTTCACCTTCCACCCCAGAAATGATTTAAATGTTTTATGACCATTTATGACAACATTCATAACCCAATACTATAAAGTGAAAGAAAATCCTTCAGTCCTAGCACATGCCATAAAAAAATAAAGTCCTGTTTTAAGTAAACAAAATACCCCCATTATTAACAGAAAATGTAAACAGACCCGCTGACTGCAATTTAAATGTGAAAGACTTACTGCCCTTGAAAAAACAAATTCTTCTCTCTCAGAATAGAGAGGGAAACAGATACGCCTTCCAACTTAGAGCTTTGGTTGCTCCAGGGCAGTATTCTGCAGCCAGACTACCTTTTATTTGTGTTTTCTTTAGGCACAGAACTTTTCCACCAAAATAAGTACCTTCTGCTTTCTACACTAGGTTTGTCTACGTCTCTCTATTCCAAAGTATATACTCAGACACAAGGAGCAGGTAAGAGATATTTGCTATATATAYAGGCCCGAGTCACATGCACTTGCAGGTAAACAGTGACCTGGTAGGGTACAATCCACTTGTCATCTGACTAAAAGATTCCTAAAGSGAAAAGCATGATTCTTCTGTTTAAGTATTGCTGGAGCATGCARTGCTCTGAGATAAAAGGGTAATGTCTCTCAGATGGAAACAAAATCATAATGGACCTGTTACTGTTAGAAATCCTTAGCACTGAAGACATCAGAAGTAACACTATGCCTGTTTATTCATTATTTTCATGAATAAATCTTCCCAATTATTTAATATGCCTCAAGACTTCGCTGGAGCACAGAATCACCTCCTCAACTTTGGGACACATCAGAAGGGCTGCTGAAGACAGAAAACAAAGACTTTCTTTGGTATTTTCTGGCATTCTACCACATTGCACTGATWCTTATACCTCAATCGTAAGTCGCGCAAATCTGTACTGCAGAGATCCAGGAGTTCTTAACAAAACGAGCCCTTTCTTATCTGTGGGCTGGTTGTGTAACATATGAAGCAATCCTGTCACACTAACAAAACCCAGTGCTTCTCCATAGCCCACGGCCAGTGAAAAATCCCCTCGAGTGACATATCCGAGGAGAGTTCTGGAGCAGTGGGAAGTAACATCTGGGAGAGAGTCTGACCATAAACCAAGAATTAGATCTTTATGTTCCTCAGTTATTTCTTTATCTGAAGCACTGGGAGGGTCACTTTCTGCATCCTTCACATGACCTGCCTTCTTCTTCTGCTTTTTTAGTTTCTGTATCTTGTTCTTGAATATGTCACAATGTTTGGGTTCTTGAGGACCACAGAAGAGCTGGTCTTTGCTTAGATGCAGCACATCTTCCTCTGTTGGGATGCAAATCATAGAGTGTAATTCAGGGTTCCCCTTTCTCAAGAGAGACAAGTTGACCCAAACCAGAGCCCTCGGGTAGCTCATCAAGATTGGCAAAACGGCACTTTCAGTCATTTCCTTCTGCCCCAGCCTAGAAACGAGGCGGACTCGACGATCCTTTCCAGAAGTGGGATAGCACCAGGCTGATAACTGCATTAGTAATTTCTCATTTCTATTATATATACACACACACATACACAAAAGAAAAAAAAAACCCAAGAAGTTATGAATATTTACTAATAGTACTAGAGAAATCCAGACCTCTGTATATTTGCAAGGGCATAACTAAAAGGGCCTGGGACTTTCTGTAACCTTCCCAGCTGATGTTTTTACCACTCTTACATAAAAAAAAAGAAACATGAGGGACAAGAATTCACATGCAGAGCTATTTTTCAGAAAAACACATTATTTTTCTAAAATCCATTTTAGTCACAAATATACTAGAACCTTTGGTGACCTTCATTCAGTCCAGAACTGCCTTTATTCTCTTTCCATGCTAACTACACAAAAAATGAAAAACCTGCATTCAGGCACTTCTCTTCAAGTGTTATTGCCCTCATGCATTGCACTGGAATGCAGAAGATTTTCCATTTGCTCTATGGATGTTGTAAGCAGTGCAAGAACCATCTCTGATAATGTATTAAAAAAAGAATGTCAAAATACATGGAGAATAACAGTTTTAAAATCACTGATATGAGTCTCTAGAGAACAGTCTAACTGCAAGCARGCAGAATATGCCAACCATGAAGAAATCCTAAACTCAATTTAAGACAGTTACTAATTTCATCTAGTCACCAACCTCCCTGGGGGAAGAAGAAGAATCAAGGACTTTCACTCAGCAAGAAAGTCTGATCCACAGCAAAACTTTCTAAATTCCTCTTCATTGCAGTTCAATCAAATCATTATACTTAATGCTCAAGGCTAAGTTCTTTCTTTCCCCAACTCACAAAATCACAGAGTAGTCAAGGTTAAGAGGAGCCTCTGGAGATCATCTAGTCCAATCCCCTGTTCAAGCAGCATCACCTGGAGCAGGTTGCCCGGGATTGTATCTGGTCAGGTTTTGAATATTCCCAAGAATGGAGACTCTACAAACTCTCTGGGCAGCCTGTTCCAGTGCTCACAGTGTTTTCCTGTGTTCAGGAAGAATTTCCTGCCTTTTAGTTTGTGCCCACTGCCTTTTGCCCTGTCACTGGACACTGCTGTGAAGAGTCTGGCTCTCGACACCCTCCTATCAGATATTTATACACATTGATAAGATCCCCTAAGCCTTCTCTTCTGCAGGGTAAATTCATTTATTTCTGATAAAAAAAATATCACCCCACATGCCTGCATCATTCTGACATACCTGAGAACAATAAACATGCTCTTTTTCATGGTTTCATCTCTCTCACCAAAGTCTTGGGTGCCTGCAACACCCTCTGTCATTATGACACCTTCAGAGCTTATTTCCATGGCCTCCTCCATGTTGCCAGCCTCAGATGAAGCTTCTTTAACCACTTCTGGCTTGGGGTCACACAGGCCTTGCCCTTCAGTTGAACAGCTCTCGGTGTGTGGCAAGGAAGGACATACGAATTCCCCTGAAGCTTTCATTCTTTCTTCCCAGTTCTTTGTCAGCTGCCCCCAAGGACAGAGGAAGGGGGACAGTGTGCCCAACTTGACATAATTTGACCTTTTTGCAGGTGGACGTCTAAAAGACAAATGAAGTGGGTAAGATTCAGCCTCTGGCTAACACTTTGGAAGGCTATTTGCCACTTGCCATGGTGGTCTAAGAAGATTTTCCCTTTTCAAAAACAAACATGCAGAGAGCAATTTAACTGGCCATTCACTTTGCAATCTCATTGAGAAAGATTTTTTCCTATTTACAAGTTTTACTTTGGCACAATGCTGCTRTATTTCTGAAATACTTCTTCACTCATTTTATTCTTTATCATTTCATACACACTTTAATGCCTTTGCCTGCTCTTACCTCCTTCTCTCATTTGTTGCTAAGGGAGCTTGAAATAGTTTTATTTTATTGTGTTATACAGCCTTTTTACAACCTTATAATTGAGCATATCTCTGAGAACAGAAGTTTTCAGTTAATTTACATGCCTCATTTAGCAGAGTTTTCTTTTATATGCATATTAGTCTTTTATTATTCTAGAACTTAAAAACACTAATGGAAGATCTTCAAAATCAATTTCTAAATGAGCACAACAGAAAATAGAGAGAATATTTTAAGCAGTACCCATTATTTCTTTTCTAACCCTCTACCCTGACTTTCATATTACCTTTTGAATTTTTCAAGAAGACTGTTTTCCAGTTCTTTGGCAAACTGCATTCCCGCAGGGCAGTCTGGATAGTCATTTGGAGTATGAGGGGTTCTTTTATATTCAGAGTGTTTTAAACCCTCCTGCAAGCCACCGACCCGTACACCTCGATAGATCTGTTACAGAAACAAAAGGTTGTGTTTATATTGATTCCAGGTTCTTAACGGAAATAAAGCATCAATACTCCTGAAGCTACTGTCTTACAAAACGGAAAGCCTATCACTTTAACTTTTAAAAATCAACTTCACGTATGGTTTTCACAGTTCTAAACTTCATTTCCACAAAGAAATAAGTTTGTTATGCTATTTAAATTTAATTCTGGAAAGAAGTATAACAAAACTGAAAAGAATATCATAGGCTGTGATTTTAAGTGCTGCCAGGAGTGTCATATTAATTTTACAAAGTCACTGCCCATTTATTTTTACTATACAAAAGAGATCATTGAAAATGATCCCCATACAGATTCAAAAGTATAAAATGAGCTGCAGAAAGGCACTAGAAACAGCCATCTAAATATTCAAAGTAGAATGGCCCAAACAGTACCAGAGGAGTAGTCAGCTTAACTTGAATATTGTATGTGCAAGCCCCCAAAATCAAGCACAATGAATCTATAAGACAGCGTGGGAGAGAGCCAGGCTGGAAGCGCACTAGCTATAGGTACCAAATGACTTATCTTTAGTTTTAAAGACACGAAGAAACACAAAAGCAAAGAGCGATGTCATCAGCTTTCTCTCCTTACTCTCCCCAGCTGTTATTTCTGCTTTAAACTTCCATGCCAGCAGAGTTATATCCAATAGAAAATATGCAAAGCTACTGCTTAGTTATTTTTAAGCTTTTAAGAACAAGTCCCTGTCAGCATCCTGTTCATCCAACCTCTTTAAAGTGGGATTTTGATCCTGTAATTGTGGATCAATTGAACAATGTTAAGTACCCTCTAAAATCCACGCTTCAAACCATTRTATTACTTGTTGCTTGCAGTGTACATTGAAAGTCACTTACAAATGGAATCCAGAAAGCCATGCCCCAGCCCTTTGGGATATAGATGTCCCAGCCGCTCCCCCATCCTGGTCGATCTTCTCCAGCCATTTTCCCTGGGTGCTGCACCAACAGTACAGGAATCTTGGACTCACAAGGACCCAAATCAAGTTGTGATCCGGGTACCAATAACTGACTTCTCATTCGGTTTAAATCCTGAAAAGGAGGAGAAATTTCCCTTAAGTTAGTAACCTTTTTTTCATCTGGATACCTTCCTGACACAAGGTGATCTTACAGCTAGAAAGAATAAATTAGCTAGTATAAATTTGTATGCTACGCATCTGAATTGACTTTCATTTGGGATGAAAAATGCCTTTAGAAAAAGTACTAAGTACCCTCCTTTTCCTGCTAACTTACCACAGACCTTCAAGGAAGGCAAGTCCTGAAACATAAGGCAAAAACATAGAGTACATCTAAAGGAGGGGAAAAAAAGTATTGCAACTTGATAAATATCAAAGAGTTTGGCCCTAGATCAGACAGAGTAGATATTTTCAAAGAGTCGGTCCATACACAGAGCAAATCAGATCTACAGCCAGGGAGAGGGGAAGAACATTTTGTCATGAATCTATTCCACTAGCCCACTGTCACGGATGCTTTAGTAATCACCATGGCAACAAATTAATTAAAAATATATATTTGTGAAAAGACAAAAACAGATCAACAAGATGCAATTTTATATGTCCCTTTTGTGTCAGCCACTCTAAGGTAAACATTATAGTCCCATAGACAGGAGGTCAAAAACCATCACGGATGTAAAAATGGGGTCAACATGTGCTTGCCCTAGCGTAACATTTTGAAAGTATCTGCAGTTTTTACCCTAAGGCAGACAGTTTGAAAGACCACACGACTCATGTGTATCATGAGAAKATTTAGAGAGATGTTTCCTTCTCTTTTTGATTAGAGCACTGCTGGGAGTGCTCACGACTATAGCGCATTTTTGCCTGCGCATCTGTGGGTTGCTCCTCCATTGCCAATTTGTTATGAAAAATGTCAAGGGAAAGGGTTTCAAAACTSTAACAGCACATCTAGAGCTGTCAGCAAATCACAGATATCAGTYAGAATGCCCACAGCACAGTGTGTTACAGCCAGCTTCCTCTGCTAGGGATTTAGTTTTATCTCCAGCAAATCTTTCATCAAGAGAATAATCCTCCTAACTAGGCCTRAGGACAGAGCTTCTCTGAGTCACTTCATCCCTTCTATCTGCTGCAAACGAGTCAAGGTAAAGCAAGAAAATCCAGTTACAAATCTCTGAGATATAAAAAAAAAATCTAGTTTAGGCCTGTAAATCCAATAAAGCTTTATATTTTTTTTTTAAATTTGATTGACTTATGAACAATAGTTATGCAAGAAGACTATCACATTAGGAAATTACATCTCTCTGACTTACACGGTCTTTTGATCTCACTAACCATTTTCCATGGTAATCCACCTTGTTACTTGCCTGCTCTGAGATTTTATTTTCAGTGACGTTCTTACAGATGTCCTGGTCCCAAATAAAGCTGTGAGCACATTCTACAGGTATACCTTCAAAGGTCAATGTTCTAACTTTATCATATTCTACAAAAGAAAACAGACTTTAAACACAATTCATAATTTAATTTCTTAAGTATCAAATTATAAGAAAAAAAAAATATCACCCAAATATCACAAGTCAAATGAGCAGAGAACTAGAGAAACACTATTTAAAAGCTTAGCAACCAACAGACCTTCTGGACTACCTTACTATCTTAAGACAAAAGATTTCTTCCAATACAAAATATGAAATACAGTACCTGTTACTTTATTTCATAGAATTAACCTGGTATTCTCTTCTGAATAGACATTTCGTAGCACAAATGACAAGAGCTTTGGGCAAAATAACTCACATCTTGTATATTTACACCTTTACTATTCTGGTACTTGACCTTTCAGGAAGTGTACGAAGCTCACTGCCTTTTGTAAGAAAGACAGAGCAATGTTACAAAGCCTGAAGCAAGTCTCCTTAGCAAACTTGTAAGCRAAGCAAATATAACTTTTAGAGAGTGTACATACAGGAAATGGTTTAAAATAAATCTGACCAGCACGCAACTACCGACTCAGCAACGGCTTCCCACTCCCTGGCTCTTTTCAGGCTCTATGCCCCGAGAAAGGCATTATGCTTTAGTTATATTTGCACAGTCTAACAGTTGTGTGATTAGAAAACTGAAAAAGTGGGAAGTACCTTATTTTAATACTCCAACATGGATTACTCTTCTAGAAGCATCTCAGAAGCCAAACTTCTCTGGTCTTAGCTACTCAAATAAGGAGACCCACAAGGGCAGAGGTAGCACAGGCAGTAGCTGTTGCAGAACTAGCTACACCATTAGGTTGGCAACAACAATCTCAGCAGGGTAACRGTAGCTTTCTAACTGACACCTAACAACACCCACCTCCAGGCAGACTGGACACTGGTAGGTAGACCAGAGTCTTGAGTTTCCTAGATAGGGAAGTAACTGCCCTCCCACAGGATGCCCCCACTGCATGTTTTATAGGTATGCAGGAAAATATGAGCAATCCTGCAACTATTCCTATACTGCATCAGAAAGAGATTCAGGTAGGAAACATGGAAAAGAGGAGCCTTTTTCCTTGCCAAACTATTAATCTTTCCTACTCACTCCTTACTGCGTCTTGTAAGGCTGTTCTTCCCTTTCGTGTTCCCTTACCACGATGTCCTTCTGATCTTATGCTATATGACAGTAACCTTCCCTCATCCTTCTGCCTGCTCTTAACTTACACAGTAGTGACCTGTTTGTGCAACAGCAACTCCTTCAGCAGAGCCTGAATAGAAGGTGCCATATGCAGCTTACCTCTTCCTCTGAGCTCATCAAGGACCTTCTCCCTCCTCTGAACAACAGTCAGAGAGGGCAGGCGCAGTTTTAAGTTCATGAGGAGATCAAAACAAAACAAAAGACCAAAAAAAGAACCAGAAAGTAATGCCACCTTTTCTGTATGTTTGTGGTAYAGAAGGCTTTTTTCTTTTGTGCAGGTGCCAGTGAAGGGTATCACCAAAGCAGAAAGTCCTTGAGGATGGTCATTTCTGGCCATCCACAGGAAAGGAGGACATAGGTACCTTCTTCTTCTCGACTTACTATCTTATATCACCACCTTTTTACCATGGCCCTCCTTCCTGAGGTTCTTGCAGTGGAAGGGAGATTACTGTGGGATGAGCAATCCGCAGTAAACTGCCCGGAAACCTTCTGCTGTTCTTGGCATCTTGAGCACATCTTCACAGACATGACAAGCAGAGTGAAGGAGGGGAATTACTTCTTGTGCTTGCTAACTCAATACCAGCTCAAATCAGTATCTGTAAACGAGTACTTATCTTACATAGCAGGAGGGAACCAAAGCAGGAGGTGACATATGTAGCAACATTTTATACCGAAACATTTATCATTAAGTAGAACTAATTTAACAGGAGAAAGGCTGTTCTAGACACAGAGGCTAGGAGGACATAAGAGAAACCAAGTAGGGAAAGAGTTGTACAGAGAGAACAGAATAATTGAAATTAGTGTGCAACGTGATCTAAGTGAAAGATATGGATCTATTTTAACATCTTGCTGCCAAACAAGCTGCCAAGAAAAAAGAAATATTTCAAAATTTCTGGAACCTTTCACTTGTCCTACTTACTACTGTTTGCTAACCGGCTATTGTATTGCACATATTAGGTGACACGGTCAGTTTATATATTGACTCTACTGTATACACTCCTGCATATGTTTCAAGGACATTCAAATGCAACCTGCACTGATTTGTTGTATGAACTATTTCCAAAATGAAAGTTTCTGAAGTCATGCATGCACCCTTCACTTTCACACATGCCTCCCATCTCAGCTATCTGACAGGCTCTTCTTGCAGTGCTATTTTTTTGCCCTAGAATTTCATCATTTAATGATCATAAACATGAAAAAGCAGGTATCTTTGAGGGGAAAATATACAGAATCAGGTAGACTAAAGAGCAAACAAAACAAAACTTTCTGAGTAGCTTTTAGCACCTGGTTGGCCTTGCCAGGATTCGAACCTGGATCATCTGTATGGTCAGACAGAGGCTTCCACTGAGCACAAGACCAGCTTTGGTGCAAGTCCCTCCCTCACAATTGCTGTTCTTAAACCTACAGAACTTTCAAGCTGTTTCTGACAGGTACTATTGAAAGAGGAAAGAAAATTCCAAATGTGAATGCTAGAGGGAAAMAGCAAGATAGAATCAGTGGAATTTCACAAGAAATAGTAACAGAGCAGGAGAAGGAAASTGCATCCCTTGCCTGTTCCAACTGGTGAGAGGCACAGCCTAGGTGGGACACTTTACCTTTGTATTTTTCAGGGTCAGGCATGGCTTTTGTTTTCTTCTTTGGCAAGTTGACACGAGGATCTCCAACAGTCAGGCCCAGTATGGTACCTGCTAGCATTTCTGCAGGTGAACTTATCCCTTTAAAAATACACAGATTRACACTGTGAAGAAACCACTAATAAAGCTTTGATGCTTTTCTGCACCACTGTCCTGCGCATTTTTGCCTGAAGGGATGCAACCTGGCTGTAAGCCAGAGAAGCAATCCAGARTACTCAATTTAACACATTTTGAAAGCTCTCTACTGCTTGTTAGATGCCCAATAATACAGAAATAGCAACAGCAGCTTAAAAGCTGCTTTGTAGTGAGATTCATAGAAGTGAAGTCATTCTCACAACTTAAAGACTATATCCACCCTTTGTATTTGACAAAACCCTCAGAAAACAAACTCCTCTCCTTTGAAAGAAAGTAAAATACGTTTTTTAAAGTTCTTCCACAACTCCATCTAAGTGTCTCACCTCACATAGCTCTATACAGTAAAGTACAGAGTAARTCTACCAGAGTCAGTTCCTTACCTGTTTCAGCACTAGGTGATGAGATGTTGTTAACTTTATGATACTTTACATCTTTGCCAAACGTACAAACATTTTGTAAGAGTAAAAACATCTATAAAGCAATATATAATACTTCCACTTGGGGTGGGAGCCTACCATTTTACTGGTGGAGGTATTGCATAACTGATTTTCTTACTTAGGTGTATGGGTGGGAGAAGATGAAAGTATATGTTGCACTGTATATAGCTCCTCAGCACCTGAAACCTGAATTGATAAGATGTGAAGAGGTTTGTCTAGTAAGATTTTGGACTACACAGAGAATTACTGTTGCTTYAAATAAATCAATCTAACAGTTCCTACATCTTTGACATGCAACAATGTCCAACTACCTACTTACTGGGGTGATTTCTGATCATGATGGAAGCATTTCCAAATTACAGCTAACTTGGCATGCCATTTTTTCAGCAGCAGATTTTAAGAGGATTCTCCTTTCCCTTCCTCCCATACCACCCACACTCCCAAATACCTTCTAATAGCTCAAAGATAGCAGTTTGACGTTGATGAAGAGATACTTTTTCAGGGTCCTTGCAGTTTTCTACCCACCAATTATTAAGCTCTGTCTCTGAATCCGCCATCTCCTGGAAAACAACACCATCTAYTTAAACTCAAGTGGTTATTTAGCATTTTCTATCAGTATGAATTCACTGCCAGTTTGCCTTAACCCCTTCCTTCTCATCAAGTTAAAACAAAACAAAAACAAAAAAAAAAACTTGATGCCTGAACAGAAAATGTATGTATTCCTACACTCTATTTTACAGCACCTCCCTATAAGCATGATTGGTTTAACCTGTGTTCCCACACAAACAAACAAACACCACCCAAAACAACCCACAGTGCTTCCCAGTTCTGTAGTCAATGTTTTCTTATAGAAAACCAGGGATTTCATGGTCTCCTCATGTTTGCTGCAAGAGACAAAGAAACATTAAAACCCAAGTAATGCTATATGCCAAGAAATGGACAAAATACTAAATCCTGGAAAAAATAAATACTTGATTTTACAAGATGGAAGGTTTCTATATGCCATCTAGGGTGTTCTAACTCATTGCTCAAGAAGGTGGGTTTTGGGACTTGACAAAGGATGAAAGTTATTCTAGGGCTCTCAACCCAACATATCACTACTGAAAAAAAAAAAAAAAAAGAAAAAAGAAAATTCAAAGCCTACTCTGTAGCACCACAGCTTCTGTTATCTTGTGCCACACTTTTCAAATTAAGATCTCCCCTGGAGATCAATATTAAACAAGAGATGCAAAACATAGAAGACAATAGGATAAAAGTACAAGTACTGAATTGGCACATTCTATATACAGGCTTATTAAAATCCTGTCACAGTAGCATCCAAATTGTTGATTTCCTTACTGTTTGAAGAGCAGCAGCTTTCAGGGTCTCCGTAAGGACCGAGTGTGATAACGGGCCAATGAGCCGGTATCTGAGAATCTCCATAGTTTGATCTCTGAAACAGAGGGAATTTCCTAGTGAGTGACATCCACACGGTGCAGAGCAGAATACTGGGATAACAAGTCACAACAGTGCCCAAGAGTCACCGTTCCTGACCCTGCTATGGACAAACCTGATGACAACACCAGTAGCTGGCGAGGCCCAGGCGTAGGGCTGCAGTGGATCTCTAGTTCCATCACCAATTATTTTTTTCACTGGCACATCTTTTTCTCCATCTTTATCTTTCTTCTTCCTTTTCTTGCCAARACTCACAGCAGTATCTGTTTTCTTTTCCTCTTCAATTAATGTTCTACTTGGTTCAGGAATGCAGATTTCTTCAGGCTCTGAACACTGAAAAATTTCCTTTAACTCACTCAGGATATCCTAAGGAAATGTGAAAGATTAAGAGGATAAGCAGTGTACTGCCAATCTTAAGTAAGGTTTAAGAATTATATTCATCATTATATTTTCCTGTGTGAACTTAAGGGAATAATCTTAATTTTGCTGTTCAATGCATGAAGAAATTGGAGACCAAAGTTTAAGGAACAAAGTACCTGTTTGACAGCTGGATGCATCCAGATCCATAATTGTCTGTTTTCAGATTCATCCCTGGGTTTCCAAATAAATGTAACAGGACCAAGCAAATCCTCAGGATAACGATCTGCCCGGTAAAGGTCCAGGGAACCCTCGAATCTTCCAGACAGGCAAAAGTCCGTGTCAAATGTTAACCCTGAAGAAAAATATCCTTATTGAAAACCAAAGTAGTCACTTAAAAAAAGCACTGTTTGTTGAGACAGTAATAAATAAAGGATACATACAAGATTCTTTAAAATAAACGACTGAAAARTCTGATCCTGGTGAGAGACATATCAAACAGGCTTTCCAACCAAAAGCACAACTGAAATACCAACTCAGTTRCAATTACTCAGATTGGTTTCAGTAGGATATTTAAGAAAGAAAAATATGGSTCATACTTTATTCAGAATCTTAACTTTTCTTCACAACACTTAACTATTACCTGTGTCAGGACTGCATATTCGAGCAAGCTGCTTCAGAAGCTCATTCTCTTTACCCTTCAGCTCCAGACAACAATAATATGATAAATCCTGAAATAACAGGATAGTGCTAAAGTCAGAGTAACTCTTAAAAGTGAACCTGACAAGAAAGTACCAGATAGAGCTTAACAACTTTACGGTAAAGTAGTAACTTTTCAGGCATTATATTATTAGTAGAAGAGGCATCAAGCAGTGATTATTTTTCATTAAAATTGAAGTATAAACGGGCTGATAAGCATTTCTTACTTAAGGTCGAACTCGCCTCTCAAACCAACAAAAAGAGTCATGCAATAAAGTGTCTGTCTTCATTAACATCCTACTCAGGAACTCGCAGAGGGAACCACTGAATCTCTTAGCTTTAATACAGGAAGATGACATATTTCGGTTCMGCTTGCCTTTGCAATACATATGACTCTTTAAAGTTCATCTTGTTCCCTCTGATATTTCCCACCCTTCATTGGAGTTATGAAATGATTCACTTCATAGTTATTAACAGCTGAYGTAACAGTACTTCAAAGAGGCAGAAATATTCATTATAAGCAAACAGCCAATTATTTCACCTTGGCAAAATAACAAAGAAAATAGATGCAAACGTGGTACCTGAAGAAGACAGTGCTTTGTCATGGCTCGGTAACAAGCCCTGTAGCTCTTCTCTGTAGGTCTATCTGCTAAACAGTAGCCCCATTTCTTAATCATATGAAATCTCTTTGCATGCCAGATATGTGTTTCCAGCCATATATTCTTTCTTTGCCTGCGATTAAACTCTGCTACCAGGTTGATGTGGCGCCTTCTGGCTTTGCGACATTTCGTTTTGGATTGTTCTTTCTTCTGATGCACCGATTTCTCTGCCTGGTTTTAAAAGAGTGTAATGAAGCAAATCTCAGACTCACAAACTTATATTGACAGAAGGAATCAATATATAGGATATAGGAAATACCAGTATAGCTTGAGTTACTCTGATGTTAGTTGTCTCATCACCTCATCATCATCATTTGTTGTCTCATCACCCATCACCTCATTTGAAGATTACTAAACCTCTGAAATTTTATATATAACCCCCATTATGCACAAGCATCATGGTTTGACTGGAACCTATAGATAAATATGCATGGAACCTATGGATAAATCTAGCTCCTCACATTCAGTAACTTACCCGTGAACAGTAAGATTTGTTACCTAYTGTTTGAGCTTTTTACTCATCATCAAAATACTACCTCTCCCCGCCCCAAAAAAACAACAAACATTAGGAACACCTGGAGATAAGAGGTCCTGCAACAGCAGAGCAGACTCTTCATTCAGCTCTGTTCTGCCAYGTTTATCAGACTTGTCTTTCACAAGAGGGACACTTAAAGGGAAGCACACAGAATCCAGCTTCTGAGCTTCCCAAGAGAACTATAGCCCAAGGAAAAAAATGGGCATAATATTCAACGTAACATATGGTTGCTATCCATCTGATCAATGTTACAGTATTTGGCTATAACACCTTAACACTCCCATAACTTTACCAAAATCTAGGTTTGCAGTAAATTCTTTTTTTTTAAACATAGTTATCTCTTTAGAGACACCTGAACTGGGTGAACACAAGAACTGCAACATAGGTAACATGCTGCCAACAACTGAAAATAAACAAGACACTCAGTTAAAGAAAAGTCAAAATAATTTCAAAATAATTTTAAGGTTAAGAAAGTACCCAACCATTTTAAGATAGATTTTCAGTTTCAAAAAAGGCAATCTTACTAATTACTTCTACTGGGTATAAAAAAAACACTTTCTAAATTATTTAGGTACTGGCCACATGTCAGAAAATAATTTCTCGTGTACTGAGGTATCCAAGAAAGCTGAATGTTATCAGCTAGATTTTTGAGGAGAAATGACTTTTCTTGTGCTGTTAGAAGAAAGAAACAGATAAGAGCTAAATAAAATCTCTTGCTCTTTCCTTTTCTGCCCAAGTTACATGTTGCACAGCCCAGATCTACCACATAATTTGCCAGGTTCACCTGTTTTGACATAATATGCTGAGGACCCGGAGTCAAAGAAAACTGCGCCTAGTTCATCTGCCCCTTTTGACCATYAATGCTGCTCATCTGGCCGGCATTAAGGAGACTGTCAGCTAGCATCATGAGGATTGCCTCTCTTGAGGGCTGCATTTTCTTTTTGCAAAGAGAAGTGCTAGGAAAAAAAAAGGGTTCATATGACAAAAACCATGTATTTTAGGATGTCCTTCTGCAGCTCACCAAGGAGCAGCTCGCGAGAGGCCTTTGGTTATAAAAATAATAGGGTGCTCCTTTGAGATCTAGRGGGAATAAGAACGTTACAGATAACAAAACACTAAATCAACCTGTGATGTCAAAACAGAAATGCAAGAAAAAACAAAACAAATCCAAAGTCATGAACCTTAGTTGACATCATCAYTCAACCTCAGAGCAAGCAAGATAAGCCACTGGAAAACAGTAGATAAATGTCTGATCTATTCAGAAAAAAATACTAAGAAAAAAAATATGGTACTGTAGATGAAAGATATGTTTGTCTTCAAGGTTATTAAGACAGATGAGATGGTCCAGATAAGTGTTTGGTCGAAAATGGTCCTGATAAGAAATCTAAGAAACAGACGAAYTGCAGCAGAATCTTGACAGAGGACCTGATCAAAGAAGTAACTTAATACAGTGAGAACTCATAGGCAAGCCTTTAGAAAAGGGAATAGCTCAACAGATGTGAAAGCTGCAAGGAAATGGGATAAAAAGAATCTAAGTAAATTAATAGGTAATAAACTACATCAAAAGACCTCTGGACAGAAAATATAGCAAGAGAGAGACAGCTGCACCAGAGACAAGTAATCTAAAAAATTTGAGAAAAATCATACCATGATCGGAAACAAGGACCTGACACTAAGTGTGAGCACGTACAAAGAAGTTAGAAAGGCTACCACATAAAGGAATTAAAAAGTGCAGGAGACATAAAAATGAGGCACACAGAAATCATAATTACTTAGCAAAGACAGACCTCATAACTAATGATATAATGTACTGTTTTCTTCCATGTTTTCACAAAAGAGGCCAAATTGCATGAATTCTCCTGTCTTTACTAACAAAAGTAGGCTGGGCAGAGGAATGAAAAGGGAGGTCGATCGTTGTGGAGATCCAATAAAACACACCTTGATCAACATGTGCAAAAGTGTCTGAAGTAATTTCTGAATCTTGAACAAGTATCTTCAGAAACTCAAGAAGGGTCAAAGATTCTTTGAGAGAATTCTTCCAGAGAACTTGAAAACGGTAAAGCAAGGGAAAAAAAAAAGAATGCAAGAAATCACGTAACGTCACGTTAAGGCAACCTTAACACAGAAAAAACCTCTCAAACTCATTTAATCACTCTAAGAAGTGTCTGGAGAAAAAATAATGGATGTCAAACATCAGAGAAAACACCTCACAAGGAATCACAGAATATTCAAGGTTGGAAGGGACCTCTACAGATCATCTAGTCCAACCTTCCTGCTCAAGCAGGCACACCTAGAGCATGTGGCACAGGGCGGCATCCAGGCGGGTTTGGAGACCTCCAGAGAAGGAGACTCCACAACCTCCCTGGGCAGCCTGTTCCACTGCTCTGTCACCCTAACAGTAAAGAAGTTSCTCCTCACCTGGAGACGGAACTGCTGTGTTTCAGCTTATGACCATTACCCCTTGTCCTATTGCCGGCCACCAATGAAAAGAGCTTGTCCCCTTCTTCCCTGCATTCTCTCTTCCTGAACTTACACATGTTAATCACATCCCCTCTCAGCCTTCTCTTCTCCAGAGAAAACCGGAAATTCTACTGAATCTAGAAAACAAAACAAAAAACCTACCACCACCAAAAAGTCCCAACCAAACAAATAATCACTACACAAAAAGCAATTGCATAACAGGTAAGGACCATGTAACTACATGGGAGCATTGTCACTAAACCCTGAGATACTGCCCCAAAGTTTCATGAGCAGTCACAGTAGGCACTGTGCTGCATGCAAACCTGCTCACGGTCTTCATGTAGCTCCCATGCTTGAGCAAAGACACATGAACTTTTCCGRGGCTTTTCTGGACTTTCTGAACTTTTCAAAACTCGAGCCCTGCAAGAAGACAGCCCCCAAATGCAGGCTACACAGGTGCTGGGATCCAGAAGCACCACCAGAACAATCCCTCCTGCAGGGGCCCACTGCATCACCATTACCCTAATGACTTTCCAAGAAGTTCAAAAATCATGAAGCCACGTGGTTAGTGATCTACCTGGACTAACATCTAGAACTCAGGTTCTGTATCTTGGATATGAACATCAGTGAAAGTTTGAGAGCCTGTGTCAACACTGAGGTTTTTCAGATAAGCTCTGATTTGAACATCAGCAATGTATAACTGAACACTCTTCATTAGCGAYAAACATTTAATTCTGAAAGAAAAGCACCTCACACTGACCATACGCACTATCTCCAAATATCCAGCCATCATGGAAAAGCTAAAATACCACCACTGACAGCCTATATGTGGGACTTCTCAGCAAGTTTTCTACATAGCTGAGCCCTGCGTCTCAAAAACGGAGCAAAAGGTGTACATTAAATTAGCCAACACTCAAGCCCATAGAGAGCAGGCTGGGGGAAATATTAACTTACCAACAGTTTATTCCTGTTTTGATAAAGTTACCTTGATTAATCATGCCCACAGATTTCACAATATATGCAGTGCAGAGCACGTCTTTCAGAATATTAAATTCAGATCTCGAAAGACCACAGTTACCTCTCAGGCACCAGATGAGGGCTATCATCCATAAGTATTTTTTGCTACCTCCAGTAATTCTCAAGATGCTTTCACAGAGCTTAAGCTCCCTGAGGGAACTACATGATGAAGACTAACGCTTACAAACGTTGCTCAGCACCAACTGTAGCTTTTCAAAGACTGTCAAACGCATTTGTACCTCCTTCCTGGCAATGTCTTGGAGGCGCCGGGGTAGGCGCTTGACGTTGTAACTCATCGCTCGCCTTCGCATGTGCCTCGGTAGCGTCTGAAAAACCAGCGAGTTCGAGGACTTCTGCGTCACTGCCTTCAACATGGCACTGATCTCAGCAGCACGGGCTTGAGCAAAGGTAGATGCTGGAATGAGAGGAACCACATGACAGTGGTTAAGAATCAAAATAGGGGACGCTCTACTTAAACTACTGAATTCCAGCAGAGCACTCTTACAATACATCTGTTTAATGACTCCTTCAGATAAAATTAAATACTTCATTGTCTATTAATGAGGAAATTTCCATTCAATCGATATTCTGAAGTTCATCGGTATGTTTAAGCGAATACTTGCAAAAGCATAAACTTGAAAGTTGTGGAATACCCAAAAGCCCTATTTGAATTACGTAATTTTCTATTAAACTACAGTAGCAATCTTTTCAGATGTTTTTCACRGAGGTGGAAAAACTTCAACATTTACAAACAAGAATCAGTACTCAAGAGTATTTTTAAAAATATCAAATAATCCAGTTAAAGAAGAAGCTGATCTCTTTTATGACTKTGGAAGCATATTCATAGACACAGCACCGCTACCTTTTGAAAAACTAGGTTCTCTCTTTGCTTTCCTAAATAAAGGTTCTGTTAAAAAAATTTGCCTTTAACTCACACTATGAAGATAAGCAGTTTCACTAGTGACATTAAAAACAGGTTTTGGGATTCACTTTGCTGGCAAACAGCACCAAAATCCATATTCTTCCTTACAGGTAAGTGAAATGTTTCAACTCAAGGGGACTAAAGGGACTTGCTGAACAGCTAGTGGTCACTCCTTGCACACAACTATTTTTGTATTTTGGAAAAAGAGTTCAGTAAAACAAAAGACTAAATGCACATGCCAAATATAGCTTCAGTCCTAATTTTCGTTATTTCACAAAAAAAGAAAGTCAGRAAACTTGATTTAGTTTTCCTGGACTTAATAATGACTTTTTTAATAAACACAAACCTGTAATGTATTTAGGCATTTCATCAGCAGCACTCTGGCATCCTCCTCTTCCTCTGCCTCTCCCTCCTCTATTCTGCCCTTTTGGAAAATACTGGTCTTTCCTGTAAGAAGTCCCAGGTGACTGATGCGAAAATTTCTGTTGCTGATACTGTGACAGACCTTCGGAACGACCATCTCCTGCAGGAGGTAAAACAGTTCAGAGATCAAAAGAGGTAGCAAAAATTACAGTACAAGCAGGCTGGTAATTGTCACGTCTTTCCTAATGACATATTCCTCTTAATAYAGTTTGCAAATATTTAACATATGTACCTGGAAAAAACGTTAGAAGCCATGTCTTAGGTACCTAAAGAATTAGGTAAGAAAGAAACAAACAAAAAAAMCCCTGATTATGCAGCAAGTGTAGATCAAATACCTTTTCCATGCTTTGAAAACAGTAGCCAATTCAGACTTTGCCTCCAGTATTGGGGGCCACAGGAAAGACCTGATTACAGTCAGGTCTCAGCTCTCCTCAGTAGTGGTTCCCACTACTGTTTAGTGAGTTTTAGCCTGTTTATGTCAATAAACCCRTTAATTTCCTCCCGTTACCCCTTAAATTGTGTTCCATAACCACAGACATTCTTTTCTAAATAAGACTTGCAAACACCCGTGGGCTGAAAAGAGGCYGGGCAGACACAGCCACCACCCCCCTGCCTGCATCAGGACTGCTSCTGGGGGGTGACATGTGGCAATGGAGCTCAAGGGTTGCTCCACTGAAAATTAACCTCTGTGCCAAGGGAGGGGAAGAGGAGTTTAAAAAAAAAAAAAAAGACAGATAATTTTTAGATTGATCAGAGACTTGAACATTTGAGTCCTCACATTGCCCCACAAATGCTACCACTGAGGGTATGAGAAGAGATCCATATTCTTAAAAGTTTCCCACCCCAAGCTGTGCTTAGCCAGGCCGAGACCCTCCCAAGCCACCGAGYAAGGCCAGGCTTTATCCGCACTGCCACTGTCTGCTCACCAAYGCTCCGGGCTCCTAAACGTGCAGGGAAAGGGGCTGCGGTGACAGCAACACCAAAGCATTTTTTATCCAACCACAAAGACACAATCTGGCCACATCTGAAGGCCTCGCAGTAAGAAGTCCTGCTTTTACACACCTTATATATACATATAGAGAGAGAGAGAACGAACGAGGTGGCCAAAAGGAACATCACAACGGGGAGTTAAGGCCCGCACACCGGCGAGTGCGGCGGGCCCGGGACGCAGGCCGCGGCCTCGGCCCTACCTGGCGGCGGGCAGGCCGCGGGGCCCGCGGGCGCGCAGGGCCCGGGCTCGGCGGGCAGCGTCACGCTGGCCGGCTGGTTCCTCATCTTCCTGGCCCGCTTCTTCTCCCTCGCCGCCGACATCCCGGCGCGGGGCTGCGGGGCTCGGGCGCTCCGCGCTCCGCTTTCGTGCTCCGGGCCGCTCCCTGCGACAAGGCCGCGGCTCCCGGTGAGGGCGGGACAGGCAGGGGGGAGTCCCGGGCTGCACAGCGCCCCAAGGCCCCAGAGCCACCGGCACCCACCGCCCCCAGCGCCGCCGCCGCCGCCAGCAGCACCCGCCGCCGCCGCCCGCGCCACACGCGGCCGCGAGAGCCTCAGCACTGCGCATGCGCGCGGCGCCGGCGCCCACAGCGGGACTACAACTCCCAGCAACGCGCGCGCGCGGAGCATGCGCAGAGGGGCGCTGTGGGCGGGAGGCGGCGGGGCTCGAGGTGTGGGAGTGCTAAGGGGCAGGTGGCGACCGTTAGTGGCGGTTGGCGGCGGCGGTTGGTGGCCATGGCTACTGTGGTGAAGAAGATCATCAGCTCTGCTAAGGCGCCCGCTCCGCTGGGCCCCTACAGGTTTGTTCAGCAGGAGGCTGCGGGAGCAAGAGGGAGGGAGAAATATCCTAGCTAGTGTAAGTGGCCGTTGTGAATGTCTGGTTATCCAAAAATCAGATCTGGACAGTGAGGGGGACGCAAGTGACTGGAGGTGTGTGGGCTTTTTCCCCCCTCTCTGTAAGGCTAAAGAAATGGAGCCTCGCCCCCACCCCCAAAAAGAAGCCTGAGGTCAGATGTTGTCAGCTGTGTAGGCCAGCCAGGAGTGAACCTGAGGTCCGGACGGGGTTGAGGTGAATGCCGGCCCTGTGTGTTCTTGGCAGTTAGAGAGCTGACAGAGAAATCTTCTCTTGTTTACTGTGTGCAGCAATGTACTGTAATGCTTTTCAGTGTCTAAGCCGTTGGCTGCAAAATTAAGTAGGATGTTGCTAAGTATTTTCTCAAAGAACTGGTTGGCTGCAGTGGTTTAGAGCTTAACTCATTTCTTTTTTTTTTTAATTCCTAAATTTAATTGGAGAAAGGCTCCTCTTTGGTATCTGGATAAGTGATATGTAAATATTGTGGGATTTGAAGGCTCTGAGAGATTTTTATCAGCATTTTCTGAGGACTTGTAATGTTGCCTTCTGTCTCTTCTTTCCCATTGTAAATGGAGTCTCCTTAGGTTTTAAGTTTTCTACTTCTCTGCCTTCAAGAGTTTTTTTTTTTTCCTCCCAATTACATTAGAATTGAGCTGAGCTTTGAACTGTTTTTGTGTCATTTATAGAAATCGTAAAGATGGAAATAAAAAATCCAGAAACAGATGCAGCATTGTTAGGTGAAGGTTAACTTCTGTAAACTRTGAATTGTTGGATAATTTCAGTAAGGGACTTGGCACAGTTAGAACATGAAAAACGTGGGAAAAGATGAATTCTGCTACTGCATATGCACTAATCAGCCTAACCCAGCCTATCCTTTACTGTAGCCTTCCTCTTCTGCTGTAAAGTTACTACATTCCAACTTTTTTTTTTTTTTTTTTGCTTATTGGTGGTATTTAATGAAATGCTGTATATTGTACAGCCTGTAACTGATTTGACAGATCTATCATTAACTTGGTTTATCAGGTTCCAGTGAACTTCTCAAAGTCCAGTGAGCAAAAATGCACAATAAGTAACTGTGATGTTTCTGCTCTGAGATCTGAACATGGTAGCAGAAGAATGAGGGCTTAAGTAYGAATGAGGAATTGGGATATAGGGGTTACATTCGTCATTCTCCTACAGCTCTTCAGGTTGAGTTATGGTGACCTGTTTTTACCACATCTTTGTATTTCCAACACCTCATCCAATTTTGAGTAATCTTATGTATAAACACACGTATACACTCACAGCAGAAATGTTCTTTTATTTAGGAAAAAAAAAACCCTGATTAGCTTTTACAGTCATTGTCTTTAAAGAGAAAGTTTCTAAATTCCAGCTCTGTTGTATGATGTTTTCCTGGGGCCATAATATCTGTCTAGTTATGCGCTTCAGTAAACTGAAATCTGAATGACTTTAGGCACATTCTTAAATCTTTAATGAATCAGAAATTAAAGAGTAACTAGGATCGACCCTAGGTGAAGGATACAGCTTTGTATATTTGTCTAGTTGAAATCTGTGAGCATTGCTCACAGCTTTGAATGCAGTGTGAGCRCACCACTTTAGTTGGGGAATTACTAATAGTATCAAGTGAACAGGGGATGCCTCTGATGGCTGCAGGAGAAGATGAGGAGCAGGGAAGGTTGCTCTAAGTGCTCATCTGTCTGTTTGCAGAAAGCTTCTGCTTTTTTTTTTTTTTTTTTTTCTCCTAATTATTCATGATTTAGGAATGTTCAAAAGCCTCTGTTGTGATATATGGTTTGTTGTTTCCTGTATAATAGGCAGTACAGGATCTCTCTCTGAGGGAGAGAGCGCTAAGATCTTGCTTTTGCTTGGAGAACTTGTCATCAAACTGAAGCAAAAGTTTGTGGTCTAATAGGAAGAGGTTGTGGACCTTATAGGAAAAAAWGGTAAAATAGAAGACTCTTCTCTGTGAGTGTTTATACACACATTCTGTATCAAAAAGATTACCTCAACTACAAAACCTTTCTTTTGACGGTTTCTCTAGTTTGCAAGGTATAGTTCTGTCATTTACTCTAGCTTAATAACCTGCTGATGTCAGAGAGGATAATCATCAAAGAAAATAATCTACTAYATCAAATAAGCTACTAACTTATTTTCCCCCTTATGAAATTGTAGGGGAACGTGAGACAGAGGTAAAAGGGCAGTGTTCAGATTGCCTAACTTTAATGATTTTTAATGAGTGCCTAAATTAGGTTAGGCTCCCTATAAGGTTGACGGAGAGAGCGATTAGAGAAGAAATCTAATAGAAGTGCTCTTAGAAGAAAGCTTCTTTCTTTCTCATTTGACTTTATAGGGAATTTACTCTCTAATTTAGATGTATCAGGCTGGTGTCTGACTAGTCTGTATAATGTAAGAGGCTTGTTAAGCTGTCAAAACACAACTTTTTCTCATGAGATGAGAAGATATTAAAAAAATATATTGCCACACCACAAACATTTTGAAAGGATTCTTTCTCTGTTTTTTTTTTTTGTAAGTTATTTTTAATTAGCATCTAAAGAAAATTACCCCTTGCATAATGATTATTTTGTGCTCTGTATCTTAATTTTAATCCTTTAATCTCTTTGTGTAATTAAGCAAAATTACCAGTGGCTAACTTTACTTCTGCAAAATCACACCTGACAGTTAGATAAAAATGTATTTCAGATAGTTTGAATTTTGCATTTGTCTGAATGGACTCTGCCAGATTGCCCAAGTTTTGTTCAGAGGAGCCTGATTCTGCTGGGAATGAAGTGATGAGGGTGCTGTGCTTACTGTCCTAATTCACGACCATTAGAGGAAAAAATGATGAATTTAATAATTACCTTCCCTGTGTGTATCTCCTCTCTTTCCATTGCTCTGCAGCTGTGATGTAGATGAAAGTATTGTCCACCTCTGTTGAACTAGGATGGGATATTTGGGCAGATGGGAGAAACATTAATTCAGCCTGTGCTCTGTGTTAGCTCCAGTTTGGATGCTGTGTGTCTGTGTTAGTGTTGAGTGACTGTTCTGATGCCTTGGGCCTTTCAAGAGACAAGTCCTTTTACTTGAAATGCAAAGCCATACTTATGTAGCTGTGTGCTTCTGTGAGAGACTTAATCCCAGCACTTGCAGAACACAAGCAGAGAGAGCTGGTGACTGTTGACAACTTGTGCATGTGTAACTTAAGTCCTGTATCTTTCTGAGATGCTCTAAATCACTGAAGTAAATGCAAAATGCCCTTAAAGGAGAGTGCTTGCAGAAGTGGATAGTCAAATGTTTTGATTGAGAGCTCATTCAGAAATATTTTGTCCAACCTAAAATGTCACTAATTCTTTCAGCCAGGCCGTGCTGGTCGACCGGACCATGTACATCGCAGGGCAGATCGGTATAGAACCTTCCAGCGGGCAGCTCGTCTCTGGGGGGACCAAGGAAGAAGCAAAGCAGGTGAGATGTCTTCTAGCAATCAATTTGCTATGGGGTTGGCATGTGCACACTTAAACAGGAACCCGTGAGGATTGGAGGCATCTCAGAGAGCACCTTCACATCTTCCAAAATGGGAGGAAGGCAGGAGGGAAAAATGCATCCCACCCACCCCCTGCCTTTTTTTTTTTTTTTTTTTTTTTAACTCAACAGCTTGGCAACCAAGGTAGGAATCAATTTAATACAGGAAAGAGTAAATGCAGGAAACAATCAGATCCCCAGTAAGAAACTGGCTTTGAATTGAGGAAAGAGGATTTCTTTCTCCAGGAGTAAAGAGGATGTGTGGAGTAATAGGAAGGATAAGATAAGGGCATCTTACATTCTCATTTAATGAGTGGGTGGGTGGTTCAATACTAGGGGTTTTGAGGAAGTTCGTTCTTATTATTTCTTTTTTTTTTTTTTTCAATCTATCTCTGGTTTTGCTTGCCCGCTAATGACTCTTGAAGGCTGCTTGGGTAAACTCAAACTATAACCAAGGATGTAGTCAAGTTGCAACATGTACTCAAATATGACATGGCTTAAAGATTTTGTCTCGTTTCTTTACAGGCCTTAAAAAACATGGGAGAAATCCTAAAAGCTGCAGGTTGTGACTATTGCAATGGTAAGTGCTGCCATGATGATGGCAAGTAAGTGACTTTCTTTACCTTGATTAAAGAAATAAAAATAAAGCTTTTTTAAAAGCTGTTTGCTAAGTGTGTCATTGTTATCAATAGCTGGCAGGGACAAAAGGCACAGGAGTCTGAGTTAAAAAAAAAATAAACATGCAAGTCTTCTTTATAAGTATCTTTTTTATAGGTGGGGGTATCGATGGGTGTTTGACTTTCACTTCAGATTCCTGCCTGTGATACTAATATCTAACCTCCTTATCAAGTAGGCTGAACTGTAGATTGAGCTGTAACTGCTTACAGGCATTTTAAGAATCCTAGACTTCAGTTAAAAACAGGTCTGTAGCAATGGTGTTAATATTCTAGGCACTTTCGGCACCTATATATATATATATATAAAATACATATAAAATATATATAATATATATATAATGTTTAAGAGGATTTTAATATAATGTTTAAGAGGATTTTTTGGAACCAAACTGGGATTGATATTGGTTTAGACAGTCATAGATTAAAAAAAAAAAAAAAAAAAAAGGAGAGAGAGAGATCCTAGCATAGACCATATCTTCAGGCATTTTATTTTAAAGGGTAGCAAATACATATTTGCATACATATATAAATACTCATATAATTTTTATAAATATAGCATGTATGTGTATGATATAATTTATTGCCATCAGTTGCATTAAAGCAGCTTTTTATTTCACCCACTGTGTCAGTTCTGTGCCTCTGGAAAGAATTGAGCTTAGAATGAAATTTAAAGCAGATATTTTCAAAGTTTGTCAGGGATATCCAATTTTAATAGGTACTAGATATCAAAAATTCTTAGGTGATTTGAAAGATCTCAGTCTAATAAGTAAACAGATTCTTTAATCACATTAAATGTACCTGAGAGTTTCATAAAGAAATCAATATATTTATGTTTTGAGACACCTTGTTGTTTCTAAATAGGTGTAGAAATAAGCTGATTTAGTAGCTCTAATAGTCAATATTTCCATGCAAGACTTTTGAAAACAATGACAACATTTCAGATAAATATTTTGAATATAAATACGATGTAAGTAATACGCTAAAGATTTTCAACTTTTGTATAAAAGTCAAAGATCCAAATTAACCGCAGTTATGTAACTTCTAGTTGTGAAGACTACTGTTTTGATGGCTGACATGAAAGACTTCAATGATATTAATGACATTTACAGGCAATGTAAGTAGATGCTTTGTTTCTATTTTATCAGTAGGGCTCGTAGAAAGTTATAATTGCTCTAAAGCGTGATAATGACTATAATTTCGGATTCTTTAGGATTCTCAGAGAAATGAAAAATTAAAGCTTTTAAAAGAATAAGAGAGTTTAGAAGACTGAACACAGAGCGAAGAAGTTGATTCCAGTGAGCTGCATATTGAAAAAGAATGCACACTAGTTTGTTTTTTTTATGTAGCCTTGGATTTTCATTAGATAGATAGCATTTAAGAATTGTAGGAACTGATAGGCAGGTTACATATTTACTCTTTGCCAAAGCCCCTTTAAACTCAGTAAAGTGGTTCTAGCTGTTCATTAACTTTGACTTGTTGGCCTGTCTTCGCAGTGCAGTGAAATTACGATTTCTGGTAATTTCTGGATTACCATATCTCTCCTTTGTAGACGTTTCATTTGATGACGTAAATTCAGCTTTTATGTTTTGACTAGTATTTTCTTTTTTTGGTTTTTTTTTTTTTGTTTTGTTTGTTTTTTGTTGATGTTCATGGGTTTTTATGTTTGTTCGTTTTAACCTTTGTTTTAATACCCTTGAGCTCAAGGCCGATACCTGAGCAGAGGAATAGGTCAGAGCTGCTGGGCAAGAGACCTTTTTCCTCTGTCTTTCTTTGGTAGGAGTGAGGCTGACCCCAAGTTTACTTCTGCAAGTTTGGAGTCTTTGTTCAGGATTCTTTTGTCGGGAACCTGGTTTTCCCTCTTGATGACGGCTGTGAAAGAGCCCTCATCCACCCTCTCGTCTCTGCAGTTGGATGGTCCCTGCTCTGGTTTAATCTTTTCAGGTTCTGCTGAGTTAGTGCTAAGGCTGTGTTAGCAGAGTAAAAGAAATCATCGCTAGCCTTTGGATCATGTCTGTAGTTGCATTCTTGATGATGAATGGTAGCTTGCTGAGGTTTTAGAGCAGTTAGTGGCCAAAAAAGAAAAACAATTTGGTACAAAAGACCATTTGTCTTGTAGCCTTGAATTTCAAACCATTCTATTGATTCCTTTTTGTATGCATTACTTTCAACTTTGTTTTATCAAGCAAAGATAAATGATTGGTGGATTTTTAATTTACAGTTTTCACTAAAAACTTCCCAGCCAGAGCTGCGTATCAAGTTGCTGCTCTGCCGAAAGTAAGTGTCACTTTTTTGCCTACTTCTGAAACTTGCTGGCAACTTTTCTTATACATGAATAGGTTCCAATGCAGTTATTTTGGTGGATAATCTTGTTAAGCATTTACTTTTTGTTTTCAAATATATCAGTCTTATTCCCACATATAATAAAAGACATCTGAAACCATGAAATATGGGTCTATTTAGTGGGAGTTGCCTACTACCCTAGAAATAAGGTGTTATTGTACTTAATATCAAATTTTCAGTATTATTTAACATGGCTAAATTAGTATACAACTGTCAGCAATATAATCTCCTTCTGATATCTGTTTTTACAAGGTCAACCTTTTCTTATATGTTATACATCCTGTTGCTTCATATTTGTGTATATATACACACACACACACACACACACATTCTAATATGTTTGTGCGTTGTTTTGCTCACAGGGTGCCCGAGTTGAGATAGAAGCTGTTGCCATTCAAGGATCGATCCAAGATGCTTCAGCATGACTATGAATAGACACTAACTGTCCTGCAATGGCAATTTTAGATTCAGTGTTCTTCCTTTAGGTCCTGGTTCTATGATTGACCCTAGRCAGTTACATACTTTTGACATCACTACTCTTACCTAGGAAAGGGGCTTTGGGAGCTTACATGCTCTAAAATGCCATCTGGGAATTAGCTTTTTTGCAGGCAGACCCTGAAGTCTATGGGAGTTTTGCTGAAATTAGCTGAGCTAGTTGCTCAAATCAGGGTATGTCTGAACTTATTGCAGGTAGGGGCCTTATTTTGTGATTGTGACTGGRTACTTGGATAACGTACACATTTTTTAGATTAATGTATGACAGTTTCACTAATGGTGATGGGGACACRGAAAATTCTAATAACTATTTTTGTAATTAGTAGGATTTAGTAACTATTTTAAATAAAAATGATAGAAAGAGGAAACAATAGAATGCTTGATACTAGGACTRAGATACATTTTCACTTCTCTGTTGTGGGGAATTTTGCTGTATTTGTTTCTAAGCCTTCTTGAACACCTTTTACAGAACAGATTAATGTTGGGACCCACTCACATTTTGTTCATGTGGAAGAGATCACTTGAGAGAGTGAACACTCATTTCAGAAGGAAGAAAATTACACTTTCCTGAAGTAATGTGCCAACATTTATAAATCGTTTGTARATGAATCTCTCCCTGCAAGCTTTTTCATAGAAGTTAAATTTCACTACAGCTTAACTAAAAAAATGAAAAAGACATTCCAAGTTGGTGAAGGGAAAATATCCTTCTTAATGAAAATAAATGATAATTGCATCTATAAAATGTGCTGTGTCTTTTGGGAACAAACTTTTGCTGATTCTTATTTTAAAGTAAGCGCTTTGCATAATTATTTACTTGAAATTCAGTTCTAACACTTGGTTTTTCAAGGCTTTTATGCTTTTTGTACTCCCTGACGAGAATTCTGTATCTAGCTGCTTTAGTAAGAACTATTTCAAACCAACAAAAAAGATATATTACTGATCTCCTGATAGTGAAGGATGAAAAGAGTCTTCCAAGTTAAATACTTTCAGATACAGTGACATTAGCTTTTGGCAGTTCTCCTGGTTAAGAACAGAAGCATCTTGGTAGCATTTAAACAATACAAAGAGTCAGGCTGGTGTTGATATGTTAGCCTATACCTCTGCATTTATTTTCTAGACAAACAATTAGAAATGGATACTCTGTTTTTAAGGAGCTTGTTGGAAAGTCAGCTATCTTCTCATAGGCTGGGGTGGGTTTTTTTTTTTTGTTTGTTTGTTTGTTTTTGTTTGTTTTTTAAATCTTCCACACAGCCATGTGCCAGTGCTCAGTGTTGGCTCAGTATTGGTTTATTCAGTGTAAATGAACAAAATGAACTTGCTCATTTTTGATAAGCCACAGAGCCTGACTGGGTTTGTCACTCCAGCCCTTATTACAGCAGCATAGCAAGGAGGAAGTATCATGCAGGTCAAGTGACAAGGGACAAACTGTTCAAGAGCTTTAAATCCAAAGTGCAGTTCTACCATGTGCATATCGCTTGCTTTCTATGTGTCTTGTTAAAATATCTATTGGTGATCATCTCTTACGCACTTAATTTTTATGTTAAGTGTGCAAAGAAATCCAAACCAGGAGCATGTGTTCAGCTGCTATCTGTAAACACCTGGTATTCGAGTATRAATTACATATATAGGTAAGGCTGAGTTTGAACATCCTCCTGCAAATAAACCTGCACAGCAGTCTTCTGTGGCCCATATTGATCCTTGCATAATCTACAAACATCCCACCAGTGATCTCTCACCTTCCTGCTTGTTAGAACTACTTTCTAGCTCTCAGTACTTTAGTTGCACTGTTATGATAAGTGAATTCCATATTTTTTCTCGGGCATTTCTAGTATTGCCTTAGCAGTATTTAGGTAAAATTATACAGAAACTTGTAAGCTGTAAAAACAATCAGCCTTTCCAAACATGGATTTAATTGGGAATATCTCCTGGCAATAAGGGGACTGTCACAGCAATTATATACAGCTGTATGGCTTTTTATAGCCATCTCTTGTGTTTCTTTATCCCCCTTATTTCCTTATTCTTCAATGAGGGATAATGTAACTGAGTGCAGTTACATTATTTAGGCAGATTACCTATATATATATATAAATATATATATATAAATATATATATAAATATATATATATAGGTTCTTTTTCTTCATTGCTTTTCACAGATGTAATTACTTTGTTGGAATATATTCTACTTATTTGTAGCAAGTATCCACAGTGTTCAAAATAAGCTCAGCTCAGCCTTGTATGGCTTATGTAGAGTTATCCCTTGCTACCTCATGTGCTCACAGYGTATTAGTGTGACCAGCTGCCTTATTTGTGCTACGTTGCCTCTTTGCCTACCTAAAGCTAACACTAGGTGGCAGTTTTGATTTATTTATTTATTTATTTACTTTTGTGCAGACCTGACTGTTYGCTGATTTAAAGTACTTCACAGTAAACTCCTTTGGCTGTCCTCATTGGTACAGAGGGGTATGAATACACTACCATTTTTCACAGCAAGATGAAAATAAGCAAAAAAAAATCACTTTTATTCATAGTTCTAACATAGTAGTTTTCAACATAAATTAACAGCCTTCCATGTAGATGGCAACAACTTTATTTTTTTAAGCGRTGTTATATTACTTCTGTGTTTTTGTTTGTTTGTTTTGCTGTTTTTTCTTAAGGCAAAGCCCAATAATTCTCCCACTTGAAAAGCAAATATTTTGGATAACTTATGTCTCAGTTAGGCAAACTACATAAACGTGTATGAGCACAYTTTAACAGGCGCTAAGTTAAATGTAGCCATTTTTGTTAGCCAGACTGAGCCACTAACAAGCACAATACAAAGTTGCAATTCAGCTTGACATACTAATTTCACCTTCAAAAATTTGTTTCAATCATGTATAACTTAAAAAACTAAAACTGCACTTATATTTCTGTGATGATAATGTAATACTTAAATTTGCATTTTCTGTCAGGTGGTTTTTTTAGATTTTTTTCCCAAATGATTATGTTCTCAATTGATGAAACAACACAAAAGTCAATCTTCAGTATCTAATTTTAACAGAACTTTGCTTTCTGCTGAAATATTTAGCAAAACTTCAGTTGCTCTAATCTTCTGTTGCAAGCACCTCACACTTGCTGAAGTTTTTTTTCTGAAAGCAGGTATATGTTAAGTGGAAGAGCAGACTCCATTGCTAAATATATTCTAGAATCCTAATAGAGTACACACATACACAGGGGGAGATGGGGTCCAAAATGAACCTCTCCTAGGGCTATGTTTATTGGGAGCTGAAACAAAATTCCTACCARAGGTTTCTTGTTGGCCTGGTGGTTGCTTGTTCCTTGAAGGAATCAAGTACTGTGTGGCATGGAATGATACCCTTGCATGAGGTAAAAGGCTGAACATTGCCTAGGTTTTAGCAACGTTTCTGAAGTGGGTTTGCATGTTSGTTCTCTGTATGTTAAAATAAAATTTAAAGGAAGCTGGGGTATCCTGCCCCAACTTTGGAGGTTTAACCTGCAAACAAGAACTCCCGAGCATATTTATCATATCCCTAGCATGGAAAAGACCTTTGATCCACAGCCCAAATTCCAGCCTTGCCAGCTGTGGCAGTCAGAGGTGTGCAGAGCTCAGTGGCTGCTCGTGTTTGGGCCCTTCATGCACGGTAGGTGATTTGGCAGCTCGTGGAACATAAAGGCCTCTCAGCCCTAGTGCCGTAGTAGGGATGGCACTAAGTAGGGATGCTCAGCATAAGTCTAACAGCCAAGTGCTGATCTTACGGTGATTTATGTGATTAATGTTTCGTGTGGGGGACATATTTCAGCTTTTAGAAGGAAAGAGCTGAAGTAGCTTTAATATCAGTTGTAACCAGAAAGTACATGAGAAATGAGATGTTGAGGCACTGACTGGCTTATGTTCTTCTTGCTTCCAGTTAGATCTGCTTAATGTCTTGAAACAGCTGAATGCTGAGGTGAAAGCGAGCCAGGGATAGGACAACTGGCAATGGATGTAAGTTGAAACCCAGGCAGTTCCATCTCCATGTGAGGAGGAACTTCTTTCCTGTGAGGGTGACAGAGCCCTGGCACAGGCTGCCCAGGGAGGCTGTGGAGTCTCCTYCTCTGGAGGTCTCCAAACCCACCTGGATGCCGCCCTGCGCCCCGTGCTCTGGGAGACMCTGCTAGAGGGACCAGCAGAACGAATTTCTACTCTTTATCGCGTCCTTAAGACCAATTATCTTTAGGGCCTGTTTTCACAGAAAAAAAATATATTTGAAGGATTTGCCATTCGACTTCAGCTACAAAATGATTATTCAGCATGAGAGAAAACACCAAGGAAGTGTTGATCACAGCCTACTTTTTCAGGAGAACAGGACTACAGGGAAGTACAAGAGATTCTCTCTTCTTTGGGAACAGGCTGAAGTCTCTGGTTAGGAATCTGTTTTAGAAGCCGCATGTGTGCAGTGTGAGCTATGTGACTTAACACAACTTATTGGTCAGCAGGAATGTTATCAGCTGCGAAATTCTAAGTGTACCAAAATTTATAAGAATAAAGGAACTTGTTCATAGTTAAGTGTCTTCYGTTTTGCAAAAATTATCATGTAAGTTACACTGCTGTTCTTTCAATAAATGAGTATTTAAAATAGAGCTTGGCAGAAGACCCCCATGTGGCTACTGGATATTGCACCCTGTATGTGTTTCACTTTCTGAAGAAACGACCACTGCATTTAATTACAGCTCAACCCAGTTCGCTCTTCCATTCCTTCATACACCATCACCCAGGCCTTCAGAGAAATGATTCAGGGGTACAAAAGCTCACAGCACTTAGATTTTCATTTCTGACTTTTTCTAAGCTCAGATAATTGACTTAAGATCTGAGAAGGCACCTTTGAAACCTCCAAACAGCATTATATAGGATTAAGAAATGTAGTATAGCACTTTTTTTTTTTTTAAGTAAAAAGTCCCAAATGAAAACAGAATGAATATCCTGTTGTCAAAACGTTTTCGCACTGTGCTAGCGTGGACACAAGGCACTCTGAGGCAAGGAGGTGAAAGTTCAGGCATTTGCAAGTCTTGAAGTCTTGGCAGCTTCACCTCAAAAATATCTATATATAAAACTTATTCTGCCTCTTATTCGTGTTTGAGGCAAAGTCCATAAAAGCTTTCCTATTTTCCAAACCCCATAAAATTAAGGAATGTTCATGAAGACAGAAGAGCAGGCCCAAGAAGATGATATTCATATAGATATAACTTCTATTCCTCATTATTAGCTGTCTCTGAAATGAAAAAAAAAAGAATTAAATTAGGATACAAAATAATATTCAATATATCCTATAGGAATATGAAAGYATCACAAACTCAAGGGGTTATCTGCCTTTCTGCAGGATATCTGTAAGGATGTTCTGTGTGAATTTAAGGATGTTCATCAGCCACCTCTGCTTCCTCGTCCTCCRTCCCATTCACAAACAAACTTCCCTCTCGCAGACATTAACACCATTTATGCAAACTGGTTATACTGCAATAGACTCATGCTCCTCCCCATCTGCTGCTTTTTCTCTTAACAGCTTTTAAAACCACTAGATTATTTTAGTCACATTCGACAAAGAAGCAGACATCTCATTAAAT